TGTCTTTTTATGTTGTTTTTCAATTGGACTCCTAATCTCTTACCTGATTTAGAGGAGTGTTTTATTATTATTATAAAGACTACTACTATTATTAGAAAGATTACCCCACTACAATTTGAGTAGCAAAAATATTTTTCCGAATTTGACATGTCTTTTTACTTTGCTTACAGTTTTCTTTTCTCATACAGATTTCTGGGTACTTTTAAAGAGTTGAACCCATCAATTTTTTCTTTTATGGCTTCTGGATTCTCAGTTGTAATTAGAAAGTCTTTACTCAGTGAACACTATAAAGGAATTCTCCCATTTTATTCTTGTGTAACTTCTATGGCTTAATTTTTCACATTTAAATATTTGATCAATTTGAAGACTATTCTGATGTAAAGTATGGGGTATGGATTCAACTTTACCTTTTTCCAGGTGGCTCCACAGAAATACCATCAATTATTGAATAAACCATCTTTTCACCACTGGTTTGAGATGTGACCTATATTATATGCTAAATTCCTATTTGTTCAACAGATATTTATTCAGTGCTTCCTACATGCCAACTATAGGGCTTGAGATATACTAGTGAACAAGAGACTAAAATTCTCTTCCTTTATGAAACTCTAGCAGGGGAAGTAGAAGATAAACATGATAACTAGGTAAATTACATAGTGTATTAGAAGATAAAAGAAGAGTAGAGGAAGAGAGTTTGAGAATGTTGAGGTGAGGCAGTTGCAATTTTATATAAGGTGGTCAGGAAAGATATAATTGAAGAGATGACAATGGAGAAAAGACTTGAAAAGTTAACAGTACAAAGGCAAGAGTGTTTGTGGCATGATCAAGGAAGATGAACGAGGCCAGGGTAGCTAGGGTGGAATGAGCAAGGAGGAGAAGTAAACGATGAAGTCAGAGAGGTAAGAGGTCCGGATTCTGTAGGACTGTTTAGGCCATCATAAGGACTTTGGCTTTTACCATGAGTGAAATGGGAGCCATGCGTTTTGAGCACAGGAGTGACATGGTCTGATCTACCATTACCCTGCTATTTCCTGGGCTACATCTTTTTTTTTTTTTTAACATCTTTATTGGAGTATAATTGCTTTACAATGGTGTGTTAGTTTCTGCTTTATAACAAAGTGAATCAGCTATACGTATACATATATCCCTGTGTCTCCTCCCTCTTGCATCTCCCTCCCCCCCTCCCTATCCCACCCCTCTAGGTGGTCACAAAGCACCGAGCTGATCTCCCTGTGCTATGCGGCTGCTTCCCACTAGCTACCTATTTTACATTTGGTAGTGTGTATATGTCCATGCCACTCTCGCACTTCGTCCCAGCTTACCCTTCCCCCTCCCCGTGTCCTCAAGTCCATTTTCTACGTGGGCTACATTTTTTGAGGTCATCTTTTTTCTTCCTTTGTCTTTATCCCTCTCACTAATCTCTGCTGTTTCCCAGAGCAAAGCACTCAAGTCCACCTATTTTTCTCCATCTTCTAATTTTAAGGTATTACTTTCTATCACCTAGAATACTGCAATAGCTTCCTAAGGGATCTCTTCCCTTTCCTTTCTTGCCTTTCACAAATGCACTTACTACCTAGCATGCACCAGGGTGATGTTTAAAGTAGAATTCAGTTACTTATTATGTTATTACCTTGCTTAAATTCTCTCAAAGGCTTTCCACTGCACTTAGAATAAAAACCGAACTTCTTATCATGGTCATAAAGCCCTGTATACGTAGCCCCTGCATACTTCTCCAAGCTTATTCCAAGTCCCCCTCTCCGTCCACTCCAACAACAGTGGCCTTCTTTTGATTTCTCAAATATACCCATGGTTTCTGTACATGATGTTTAGCACATGCCTAAAATGCTCTTTTCCATTTACTTTTCTTTTTCCAAATCTGCTTTTTTATTGACCTCAGAAGCTGTCATCAAGCTTCATTATATCCAATTTAGTTTTCTCTGGTACACTGTTTATAATTTAAAATTTTTTTAAAATAAATTTTATTTATTTATTTATTTATGGCTGTGTTGAGTCTTTGTTGCTGCACGCAGTCTTTCTCTAGTTGCAACGAGCAGAGGCTACTCTTTGCTGCAGTGCACGGGCTTCTCACTGCGGTGGCTTCTCTCGTTGCGGAGCATGGGCTCTAGGCACGTGGACTTCAGTAGTTGTGGCACGTGGGCTCAGTAGTTGTGGCTCGCAGGCTCTAGAGCGCAGGCTCAGTCGTTGTGGCGCATGGGCTTAGCTGCTCTGCGGCATGTGGGATCTTCCCGGACCAGGGCTCAAAGCCCTGTCCCCTGAATCGGCAGGTGGATCCTTAACCCTTGCACCACCAGGGAAGCCCTAAAATATTTTTGAACAGGTGTATTTATACGGTTCAAAAAAGGTCTCACATTCCTGGTACAATTGACCTGGTCCCCACCTCCATTCCCACAGGTAATCGCTATTATCAGTATTTTATGTATTCTTCTAGAGTTTCTTCATGTAAATATAAGCAGATACAAATTTCTTCTTCTTTCCAGTGCCCTGGTGTCCAGATATACAGCAGTTCAACTGGGTTGCAACCTGTGAACAGATGCTGCTATGAGGTTGTAGAGATGGTCTACTTACTTTTTATAACTCCTATATTCTCCTTCACATCCCACCTTAAATTTCGCTTCCCCAGCAAGTTCTTCCCTGATTCCCTAATGCATATTCACAACACCTTATTCTTATTATGTATAATAAACATCTCAATTTGCAATTCCTTAGTATATCTGCTGAATGTCTGTCTCTGCTAAACAACTTGGGTTTAGGACCATGTCTGTTTTGCTCATTGATGTAGTTCTGATGCCAAGCACAATTTCTGGCACATAGCAACTGCTCAAAAAATACTTGTTGAATGAATGAATCATCTTTCTTCTGAACAAAGTAAATGGTTCTGGAAAATTAAAGCAAACTCCTCTGGCTAGAATGCCAAGAAACAGATACACTACCTTAGTTCTCAATGTCTTTCTATCCCTGTCTGTGGGGAGCCTTACAATTAAGAGTAAACTGAATGAATCTGTTCCTTGCAACCCAAAGCACTCATGTACCAAATAAATGCTAAAGTTCGGCAGACAGTCTCCTTATGGTCCCTGCTCTTGCTCAAGTTCTATTTCCTGTCTTCTCTAATGTCCAAATACTACCTGATATCAGCACAAATTCAAACTCTCCTTTCCTCATGAAGTCTTTTCTCACCCCTCCATTCTTTTTTTGCCCTTTCTCTTTTTTTTAAATTTATTTTTATTTTTTTGGCTGCGTCGGGTCTTAGTTGTGGTGCGTAGGCTCTTCATTGAGGCATGCGGGCTTCTCTCTAGTTGCAGCGTGCAGGCTCCTCTCTAGTTGTGGCATGCAGGTTTTCTTCCTCTAGTTGTGGCACGTGGGCTCCGGGGCGTTTGCGGTACGCGGGCTCTCTAGTTGAGGCACCCGGGGGCTCAGTAATTGTGGTGTGTGGGCTTAGTTGTCCTGCGGCATGTGGTATCTTAGTTCCCTGGCCAGGGATTGAACCTGCGCCCCCCTGCACTGGAAGGTGGATTCTTTACCACTGGACCACCAGGGACGTCCTGGCCCCCTCCAGTCCTATTTATTTATTTATGGCTGCGTTGGGTCTTCATTGCTGCGCGCGGGCTTTCTCTAGTTGTGGCGAGTGGGGGCTACTCTTTGTTGCGGTGTGTGGGCTTCTCATTGCAGTGGCTTATCTTGTTGGGGAGCATAGGCTCTAGGCGTGTGGGCTTCAGTAGTTGTGGCACGTGGGCTCAGTAGTTGTGGCTCATGGGCTCTAGAGCGCAGGCTCAGTCGTTGTGGTGCATGGGCTTAGCTGCTCCAGAGCATGTGAGATCTTCCCGGACCAGGGCTCGAACCCATGTCCCCTGCACTGGCAGGCGGATCTCTCAGATTACCAGGGAAGCCCCCGCCACTCCAGTCTTAATTGGACTTCTCTCCGCTCTGAGCACCTGCTGTATTTGTTGTCTTTGACATTCAGAGAAGAACCTAACATTACACTTTTCTGAATGTTAATTGTGTGATGTAGGCTTTAAAAAATCTCCTCCAATGAGTTTGCTACCTGTGGATAATGATTATCTCATAACAACAGGGAACAACAGAAGTCCTCCTTTCTGAAGCAATCGAGACTGGTATCTGGTATGTACCAGCTGGTTAAAGTGGGGATCCATAAACAATATCTCAAAGATTTTAACATTTAAATTTAAAATACATAAGTATACATTTATTCCCTTATCTTTTGATATGAGAATGATTTTAATAATGAGTGCCCATATCCAAAATGTATCACTTCCTGTTTCATTAAATCTGAACAAGCAAATGACTCTTAGGAAATAATACTGGTATAGAACCCTCTGAGATTTTTAGGATTTTCCTTCAATGTTTTACAGTTTTGCTCACACCTAATTTGACAGCAATATTTTAAAAGGTGACTGGCATTTACTGAGTCTTTCCAAAGCATTCAACTAGTTTTCCTAGAAACAACTTATCATACTTATACCTCATAGAGGTTTACATCATACTTAATCAAATTGTAACAACTGGTTTAAACAGGTTTTGGAAGAGATATAACAGATTCTTGATAAATATTAACTTGTGGCAGCAGATGTTCTCAGGTACATTAACAGTCCTGTTACCTTCAAGCAGTCACAGTGACTTGGGCATCATTCATTGTTTGCAGACAGAGTGGCAAATGTTGTTTGAATTCTAGTGAGCTATTTAAGGGAAGGGTGATTAAAACACAGTCTATGGCTTCTTGTGTTACCTTTACAACATCTAGCTCAGACATGAGTCCATGATCTGGTAAAAATGCTGAAGGAGAGAAGAGCTATAAAGGAGCACATAAGGAGAGTGGGAAACATCAGGAAGAGATCAGCATCTGTCACAAAAGTCTCAAGTGCTCTGGATTTTGGGGGCTTAGTACTTCTGAAAATTGAAAAATAAAAGTGCCCGCATTCTGAGAACTATAATAGCATTTCAGAGGAGAGTAAAACTGAACTTACCTGAGACCGCTCTATCTGTGATCCAACATTCATTTCCTTCTCCATGTTTCCCTCCTGGGAAAGTACAGCATTCTGAGAAGGCATTACTGGGAAAAAGAGAAAAGAAGAATCTTGTCAACGTATGACATTTAAGGCTGAACCTAAATCTTGGACCTTTTGTTTTGGATTAGGATGGCAAATGGTTTAGAGAGAAGCCCTCTAAAACATAAGCCTAAAGGCTGGGTGACTTAACTGTGACATTCTTGTTCCTCTATCACATTGAGGAACATAATGCAGGACTTTCTCTCCTCTGTAGTATAACTCCACTTGTTGTGACATATGGGAAGCTCAAAGGTGCTCACTGGTTTTCAGCCCTAGCTACACACTTGGGGAATTTTAAAAAGATGCCAGCGCTTAGCCCCTATTCCCAGAGATTTGGATTTAATGGTCTAGGGTGATCCTGGGCAACAGCATTTTAAATTCTGAAGTCTCCAAGTGATTCTAAGTGGGAAATGAGAACCACTGAGATGAGGTGATGCAGAGAACATATGTTAAGGGCCTATTCTTACCCTTTAAGGGGATAAACTCATCCCTAACCTCAAACTCCAGACATCTCCTCTACTCTCTTTAGGATGACCCTTCTAATATAGAAATGAGATTTCACTCTTTTCATTTTTCAGAATGTTCACTTTCCTTTTTGAGTACCTGGATTCAGTCCTCCACCAGGATCACTACACCTCTTTGCAGTTCTTAAGTTGTAATGTCCCCAAAGCCTTGTTCTCTTCTAGTATGACAGTCAGGAGATACACCAGTACTAGCAGCTTCAGTATCCTTGTCAGTCCCTGAAGGTGATTTGTCCCAGTGCCTTATAGGAAACAGCCACTCCCAGGCATTAAAGGTGCCTCAACTCATGAGAGGGTCAGGAGCCAGTGGATATCCATGATAATGACTTCTGCTTCCCAGGAGCAGCCACTCTCAGAATCTTGCCTTGTTCATGCAGAGTTGAGATGCAGAGGTTCCTGAAAGTAGCTATTACATTCGTTTTTCTCCCTAAAGGCATCAATCCTTCATGTACAGACTTCACTATGATATTCAAATCTGCCTCCTGGTTGAGCAGTTTCAGGTTGAGCAGCTGTAATGAGATGCAACAGAGTCAGCAGAAGAAATCCAGCAGTGTCAGTCACCTAGGGACCTAGGGAGTCTATAAAGAGACATACAAACTATTCATTCATAAAGATAGAGCCCCGTCAGATGTGGAATTCTTTAAAACAAGCAAAAAGCATTTTTAGAATTTCTCAGATTACAAAGAGCAGAGATGTACAGATGCATCAACTACAACAAACTTAGCCTCAGTCCTCTCCCACCTTCTTCTCAAAACAGAAAACATGTGGTCCTTGCCCAGAGGAAGACTTTCAGATAGAGTTTTCTCCTCAGAAACAAGAAAAAACAGGTGTTTCACCAATACCAACAACAGAGTGAAATGTACTGATCTGCTAATAATCAGGAGAGAATACATTTGTTCTCTGCTCACAAAAGTTGACCTGAAAAACTTTTCTCAAAAACTATTGATAGAAATGAAGAATGAAGTCCTTTCTGAGAAGAAAAAGAGAAAACTGCAGTTCCAATGGAGTGCCCTGTTAGATAAGGAAGCCATTCAAGCCAAGACATGGCACAATTCTAATATTTTACAACCAGTTGACTAAGAGGCAGATCTTAAAAGCACTTTAAGAACCAGGTCCTTATTTTACCAAGCAAAAGCTCTAAAAAGGTCCTATGGTCTGAAGAGTCAGGTAGAATCTACAAGGATGTCCTGAGGTTTCAAACCCAATCACCTGAAAACCATTTATTCACAACAACGAAAACAGCACTAACCATGTTATTGGACAGGGTTTCTCCTTTATATGTGTGAACCCAAGGCAATGAGGAACATTTCAAATATATTATACATTGTATACAAATATAGCTAGTTTGAGAATACTTTTTAAAAAAAATATTTATTTACTTATTTGGTTGCGCTGTCTTAGTTGTGGCAGGTGGGCTCCTTAGTTGCAGTTCGTGGGATCCTTAGTTGTGGCATGCAAACTCTAAGTTGCGGCATGCATATGGGATCTAGTTCCCTGACCAGGGGTTGAACCCCTGCCCCCTGCATTGGAAGCGCAGAGTCTCAACCACTGTGCCACCAGGGAAGTCCCCTGAGAATACTTTTTATGGCATCTGATGGGACTAGGGTTCCTTAAAATACACCTTTGGAAATGCTGATTTAGTTCTCAGTTCCTTGGTTTAATGAAGGATTCTGAGTTTAATGAATTCTTGGCTTAATGAAGCTCTAATCACAGAACTAAGTGAAAGAGCTGGTTCTAGAACACTTAGGTCTTCTGATTCGGCCCTGGGCTCTTTCTAGTATACATTAAAGTCCTTTTTGCTACTTGTTTTCTCCCTTTTCCTTTAAAAAAAGTCTGATCCCTTTCTTTTAATAATTTCCCTTTTAATTCCTATATTGGAAAGAACAGAAAAAGAGAACAACTCCCGACCCACAAACTGTGCAATTTCTCATACAACAAACGGGTGGAGCTTTCCAGAGAGAGAGACTGCAGAATTGCCAGTCTTTTTCAAACAAGTAACCATGATGGCTGGGAAAGTAACAAATTCCCTTGACTGCTTAAAGAATACTAGAATTATAGTCAATTCAGAGGGAGAATGATTCTGGCTTAACAGTTTTCATTTTCACCCCAAGCTCTTCCAAAAATCTGAGTGAACTTCACTGCCCATAGAAAACCTATGCCATGGTTCTCAATCTGGGCTGTGCATTAGACTCAGCCCAGATTCAAAATGACACTACAGATGCATATATAGGGCCAGATGCATATATATATATATATAT